ATTGGACAAAATTGGTGTCCCTGGAAAGATAAGAGAGAGATCTACAACTTCTCTGTTGCGAGAAAAGCCCAATTCGAACATCTTCAGGCCTAAAACTGCGTCACAATGTTGCGGTCCTGCAATGAATTTTCCAGAATTTGGTTTTATTGTTGACATTACTTAATTAGGGTTTTAGGAACCTCGTTAGGAAGCTGGGCCTTAATTAAGCCCAATTATTTTGTCTTTAAATAGGGTTTATGATTTCGCGTGGAGATCTTCTTCCCTCTTTTTTGCCTTAATTTTCAGAATTTTTAAATAAAAGCTTTCGTAAGGATTCCCCTCGTCTCCCTCTCTTTTATTTTCGGAAACTTCATCCCCTTCTCTAATTGGTCGAGCAACATGATTATGAAGCAAAGCTAATTCATCAACTGGTTCAAGATTTCAAAAACTACATTGCATTCGAGTTTCAAAATAGGTTTTATCGAATTCCTCCTTTCCTTCCTCTTTTCTAATTAGGTTAATTACGTTTTTCATGATATGGAATTTTCGTTGCATCCTAAATAGAAAGAATAGGTTAATTTCAGATTTGAATTAATTGGATTCACCTAATTTAATCAATCAATTGTTCTAAATTTTGTTAAAGCATTGGGTTTGCGATTGCGGTTCTTGTTTTGATGGAATTCATAATCTAGATTTAGATTTTAGGGTTGTTGATGCGCATTGAATTAGTGTGATTGGAAATTCGTTGAGATTATATTTGTGTGAACGACGAGAATTGCATTGTAGGGATTGAGATCTTGAATTGGTTGAATTTCATAATCCTTAATTTTTGTTTTTGTTATTTTGTCGTTTAAATTCAAAACAAATCCTCCCCCAATCTAATTTGAAATTGCATGATGGAACTAAAAATAAAATGCATTTTATGTCCTTGAGAGATGACCTAGGTTTGCTTCTTGTATTGCACAAATTTTTGAGAAAATCTAGCTTGTTTGATACCATTGCGACATGGTTATCAATAGCTCAACTAATTTTGAGAATCCATTGGGGTTCTGTTAGGATAGTCCAGTTTTGCAGTGAGAACCGACAGCACAGGGTTGCGAGCCCTGGCCTTTGTCCAGCTCAATCACATCCGACTATCCCCAAGACTAACCTGGAGTCTCCGCTAGATTTCGTATACTTCCCATCCAATGCCACCATCATGACATGCTTATGATGCATGAACCTAATTTTAGTCTTTTAATTAGGTATTAAACATTTCTTTTCAATCAATAACAACATATGTTTCAAAATTTCACCGACAATCCGGCACAGTTTCCTCTATAATTTAGATAATTTCAAATTTTCTTCTCTATGCAAAATAGCCAAAAAATTCCAATACACTTCTAATTTTAAACAGAGTCTCACCACCACCACATTTCATAACTTTTCTTTCATTTCAATGGCTCTCAAATACCTTTTTCTAATTATCACCACATTTCAAAATACCCATTTAAAATAATACTTTAAAATGAATTAAAATCCTTTAAATTATTTAAATATGGATATAGGTATATTTTAAATATATAAAAACTATTAAATAAATTTTGATCAAACCACTTGAAATTAAAGAAGATTTTTTTAAAAAAAAATCATTTTTTGAGAAGAAAATTAACCACAATTCCATTTATCAATTTCTAAAACACTTTTCAAAACCCATCAAATTTTATCTTAAATATTTTTTTTAAATATCTTTATTTCGCAATTCTCCAATTCTTTTCAACTTTCAACAGACCTTCTATATGCTCACTCCATATGAATGATAGTTCATTCCTCAATTATTTTAGGTAATCAATTATTTATACTGAATTCAACAAACAATTATCATAGAAACATCATCACACATAAAGTCAATTTCAAAAAGGAATATCAAACAATTGTACACTAAGTATGGAAATAATTACAAATTCCTTCAAATAATTCATATATACATAGCAAAGAATAAAACACCCATCTCCCAACATTTTTCTACTATACCCGTGAAAATAGATATGTGCCCCCTTACCTTGAAGTGTATACCGATTTTTCTCACCAACGTCCTCTTTCCACCACTTCTCAAATCACGATCCTAACCAAATAATCACATATAATCATGATCAATGTTAAGAGACATTAATCATCCAACCCTCTACTAGTGAGTTGAAACTATCATTTTCTAATCTTTGCAAAAAATGACTTACGGACCTTACAATTGTTTTCTATGATGTAAATGGAATACTATAAGCCTAAAGGTGATTAAAAACAATTATTTTTCCCTCATAACACTCTTGGGACAGCACCTCTAGACCAAGGATTTTGAACCCTCAAATGCATTTTTAACAAAACAAAAAGCACCAAAATTATTTATTATAAAACATAGAAGGATTAAGCAAATAAAAACATAATTTAGAAAAAAAATTTTTGGACAAAATCTCACCCTTATGCCACTGTTCCAACACCCAAAAAGAGGGAGAAAATAAAAAATTAATCGGTTCAAAGTGTTCAAAATGATGAAAATAGGTGGAATATTAAAAAAATTTAATGAACTTACTTGGAAATTTAAGAGATTAAGACCAAAGATGATCAAAGCTCCTTGGAAGAAAGAAAATGGGGCTTACGGAAGTGAAAGGAGGAAGTGGGAAGCTTTAGAGACTAATCCTTATATTAAATAGTAAAAATAATAATATAATCTTAGAATTTTCACTAATTTTTTTAATTAATTGAAACAATTAGATAAAAATCTCAAAATTTAAAAATAATCATGAAATATATTAAACATAACTATAAAATAATTTTTGACACTATTGATCCTTTAGTTGGTGTCTAAAATTTTTACACGCAATTTCTGCTTGAGCATATTACTAATTTACTTAAAACTAACCAGAAAATCCAAAATACTCATTAATTACAAAAAAATTTATTTTTATATTCCAAATAATATTTATAAATAAAATATAAATTTTTTATAATTTTTACTATTATTATTATTATTATTAAAATAAAATATTATTTTTAACTTTATACAACAATTTTAACCAATACAAATTGACATTTTTTGAAACTTAAAAATTTTAAAATAAAAAATTATCAAAAATTTCTTAAAAATATACCTAATAATTTTGTCTAAAGCATCTCATGCTAAGTCTATCCCAATTTTTTTCTAAAAAATCAAGTACTATACATTAACTTATAATTATATTAATAAATTAATCATTTAGCAAAAACGAGGATGTTACAAGCTATGCTTGTGAAAAGTAAAAATGAAGATAGGGGCGATCTTTGAAGACTTTAGGGTTAGATTCAACTAGGCTTGCTACCTGAACGTTGTGATGTTAAACCTATTAAAGAGTACTAATCTAACTAATTACATTGTTAGTGGTAAGATATTTTGGAATATAATGATTATTACTGTGAGGTACGAGTTATACACACTATATTGATGAAATTGGTTCAAAATATTTCTTCTTGGCTGCTCATTCATTTTCTAATAGTTCATGGATTAGTGTTTTGAAACTTGAGCCTTACATACAACATTGTATCTGTATCACGATTATAAAATTATTATTATTATTATTAATATGCTTTATTGATAATTTAATTATATGATTTGTATGTTATACTTATTATAACTGACATAATTATTGCTTATTATCTTATTTAAACATTAATTAGGATCTCACTTTATATTTATTCTGTTTTTAGTCTGTATTTTAATCTTTATAGATTATGGAGTTTACAAAAGCCTAGACTTCTGAATTTTTAGAATATGCACTCCATCTTTATAGCAAAAATCATAACATAGTTTTTTTTTATATTGAATTTTTTAAATGATTGCAGCAAATTTCAATTCAAGTAATGTTTTATAAAATGAATTTATGCTTTCTTTAATGAATGAAGAAAATTATTCCGTATTTTTATAACAAATTTCTTTATTAAAGATAAATTTGAATACAAAATTAAGGTTTTAAAGATAGAATAAATGAAAAAGAATGTCATTAGTATATCATTCTGAATACAATTTTTAGTATATTTTTATAATTAATCTATTTTTTAAAAGTAAAATAATTTTAAAAAAAATATAAGATAAATGCTTTAATTTAAGAAAAAAGTAGACTAATAAAAAATAAAATGTCTATTAAAATTAATAAAATTCATTAAAAATATATATTAAAATATGTATTATTAACATTCTTTTGATTACATAAATTATGATTATAGGCACTCACATTGTGATTACTCATTTGACATTGTTTATTTTATTCTTATTGTTTTTGTCGCATACCTATTATGTTTATTATTTCTCTTCCTGTTTTTTTAGATACTTTCATTTTAAGAAATGTCTATCAAATTCTCTTTTTATAACATAACATATAACTAAATAAGAAAAAAAGTAAAAAACAACGTGTGTACTTGTCAAACCTTAATTTGCTATTGCTAATTTTGTCCATCAGAAACATGGTGTGGAACTTTGTTACCCTATCAAAAAAACTCTTGTGAAAACCACATAACAAAAACTAGTTGCTATAGTTAGATTATCTAAATCCTTATACATAAAATAGGACTCAAGTATGATACCTTGTAGTTTCATTGTAATAATTTCTCCCAGAACTTAGGAGTTGAGTTTTCCTTAGAATGAAAAAACAATGTGGTTAATGATATAAAATTATTTTATAAGGAGCTTATGACTGGTTTTTATTTATTTAACAAATTTCAACAAGTTTTATTAAATAACTCTAATTTAATTAAATAGCTATAAGTTATAAGTTTCTGTTTAAGTTAATTTTACTGAATAGAGTTAAAGAAAATATCAACTCTTTTCCGATGAAAAAGATAAAAATAATAATAACATATTTGAAATAATCTCAAAATTAAAGTGAATAGAATTGAAACTTTCAGAACTCTCAAACTTATGAAGTGCTTCTAAGAAAGCTACATGTAGGTGACCAAAATGTCTTACAAGTGATATTGCATCAAAGTAGATAAATATTACTGCATTATACAATCTCTCATCCTTTAAAAAGTGGGATGGCTGAACATACAGTCTGAATCAGAGTAAGCAAAAGTAGCATAGATGCAGCAACGGTAGATGCTATTTTCCAAGGAGTGTTGAAGTACTCGTGTATAAAGATCGCCTTATATTTGTTACGAGGATTTTCATAGAATTTATTCAAGCTAATGCAGATAGAGAAATACTTCGAATTGAAATGCGGCATGGCAACATTTGTGCTAAGACTGTTAACCATTGTAGCAACTGCCTTGGTGTCACCCATGTAATTGACAATAATTTTCTTATCAACTAGTAAATTCACATCTTTCTCAGTATCAATAAGATAATCTAGCACCTTTAGGTACTGAGTAACGAGGGGTGTATTTGGGAAGAGACATTGCTCAAATGCAACTATGTTTCTGAACAATTTCTCAGTTTCATCATGTACCGTTAAGCATGGGATTGTCAATTCACCATCATGATAGTCTAAGTCAAGTAAACATTTGCTTGGATTAACTTTGAATGCTAGACCTGCTTCTGATAGTTGGCTTGCACTGTATAGATACTTGAGTTCATCTCTTTTTGCTGGTGTATCTCCAAGATCAAATGTTGATGGTAGAAAAAAAGTTCTTAGAAGATCAGTGAAGTGTTTTGGACGCACTCTTTCAGAAGTTATGTTCTGCTCGTTGTATTCTTGAAAATATTCGAAAGTGATGTCAAGAAAAGAGGGAAATTGAAGATTCAATTGAGCAATTTCGTAGATGCCTTCAAGAACGAAGAAAGGAAGTTGATTTTCAAGTAGTGTCAAGTCATCATAAACATCATCTACCAGCCATGGTTTCAACAATAAAGGGTCCTTATAAATCCAATCATTGTCTTCAAAATCTCTAAGAAAATGCTCAATTATGAAACAAGCATCGATCAGAATCATCTTTAAGAAATGATTGCTGTGAGGCTCAACAGGCCATGCATAGCAACTTCGAATTCGATTTTCCTGATCTTTAAGGTAGCAAGCAAAATCATCCACACGTAGTTTGGTTCGATCTAGAAATCCCTTGAGATATTTCAATTTGAACTCTTCCATTGCTTTCAAAACATTGTCGTCTGCATTAGATCGTGCTTTGTGAAAAGGGCCAATAGAAACAACCCGAGGAGTATATGCCTTCGGGTTAGTTTCGCGAATACTATCTGGTACTCTAAAAATACATTGCCCATGGACTCCAGACTTTTCTGGAAGAACCACTCCTTGAAGCATATCGGTTAATTCCTTTCCCCATTGTTGGCATTCGCTCTGCGAAGCATTTGGTTGTTCCTCCATTTTCTCAAACCTTGGTATGGTGACTGAAATAAACAGGATCACGCAACACTAACAGTTTAGCATGATTTTGAAAGCAAGGGGGAAGTAAAATGCAATGTTTGACATGAATATGATGACATTAACATGAGATGCCATAGATATTTTAAAGTTATGGAAAAAGATTTGGACAAAAAATATCATACACTCTTGTGTGAAATGACAAAGGATTAGTCTTCAGTTACTCAGTTTAAAACTTGCAGTAAATCCCAGCTTCACGAAATCAATTGCTTTGATCTCGTATAGCAAGAACAATGCATCGTTATATAATAATAATTTTCATTCATGTTGATCAAAGTCCTTCAAAATTGACGTTAGAGTCAACATAATGTATGGACAATAATCAAACAGCTGGCTGTTAATAATGCATTAATGCATTAGAAAATGATATTGTCCATTACGGATATGTCAATTTAATGAATCAGTCCCGCTACTGTCAGCTTTGTACTGTCACCGCGGGTAAGTTCAGGATCAAAATTTATAAAAAGTTATAATTATTTAATTTAGTTACATAATTTTATATATTTATAAGATCAATACAATTAATAAATAAAATGTACAAAAAGCAACTTGAGCTTCGGCTATTGGGGGTTAAAGAAGGTTGAGTAGGTTCCGCGCAGTGTTTAGTCAGTTTTTAGTATATTGAATATTAGTTATATTTATTTTTAAAGAAATAATAATTAATCATATCTTCTTTTTTTGCTAAAATAAGTAATCATATCTTTAGTAAATACAAAAAAAATATAAGTATACAATTAAAGATTATTTTTTTTGGTCCCCTTCATTTGGTTTCTAGATCCATCCCTGCTTATAGCCTTCGAAAGAGAATAATTCAAAATTTTATCAAGTTCTTCGTCTCATACAACTGCATTTGAAATGAATCTCTAGATAGTTAGCAAACGGTTACCAATGGTAACGACTAATGAGCATTATTTTCACTCAATGTATAGTTGTCATAATGTTAGTTATTTAGATAGCAAACCTTTTTAAAAGATATTTGATAACGGAAGAAGACGCTTTAAGAGTGTTAAAGATTAATTTGGAAGAAAATATTTTAATTTTAAATTCTTTTAAACAAGTGATAAAGATCTACATGTAGAGGTGAAAAATAGTCTAAGTTAATCAAGATCTCTTACAATTTTATAATTGTAAATGACAAAGTAATATATACGTCATTGTTATTAATCGTTACATGAATTTAAAAAATATATTTTAAATTTTTAAAAAATAAAATAACATAAAAAAAAAATTACTTTTAAAATACAATCTTTACGGTAGAAACGACACTAGAGAATGATTCTTCATCATTTTAGAGAGTGGTTCAAACTACTATGATAAGCATTGTAAAGTAAAGTAATGTACTTCACTACGCCAAAAATGAGATGTAAGAATGGTTTCGCTTGAATTAAGAGAGTGGTTATTAGCGCTTTAAAATCATGTGCTATCTAATGTCTTCATTTTTGGAGAGTAGTTATTTAATCGCTTTCAAATGTATATTTTAGAGAGCGGTTACGCGGTTAACCGCTCTCAGAAGTTCATTAAAGAGAGCGGTTAAGCGCGTAACCGCTCTACAAAATATAGTACTTTGGAAAGCGGTTAAGACTGAACCGCTCTCACAAGTTAGACTAAAGAGAGCGGTTGACAGGTTAACCGCTCTCTTATCTCAAACTTATGAGAGCGGTTATAAGTGAACCGCTCTCAGAAGTACATTTTGGAGAGCGGTTCCCATTTAACTGCTCTCCAAAGTTCACTTCTAAGACCGGTTATTTTGTGAACCGCTCTTAGAAGTGGACTTTGTAAAGCGGTTATTCGTGAACGACTCTCCAAAGTTAAGAAACATTTTTAAAATAAACTGGCATACAATCTTTTTTTTAGCACACGTGGGAAATTATACAGTATTCAGAACCAATTCAAATAGAATATCAAATTCAAACAAAGCCTGATATACCAGAATTTCAAAGCAATTGCACATTGTATTATTTAATTACAACTCACATGTACATATTACAATCAATCAAAGTCTCATATTTACACATTTTGAGGGCCTTTACAGAAAATTGTCTAAATATTGTAAAAGAACACTAATAATCTATTATGCTTAGTGTGTCCTTTAAATATCTATGGTATAGATATGAACACCACTCCTTTTGCAATTGAAAAATTTTGTTGTCAGGGAATGTTGGCATCTGCACCTCTGGAAAGTACTGAAATACAAGCACTACGCCAGAAATGAGCTTTTGAAGCGCTAACTTAAATGGCGGTTAATAAAAATCGCTTTATAATTATATATTTAGAGACCGATTCTCTATTAACCGCTCTCAGATCTATACTTCTGAGAGTGGTTAACAGAGAACCGCTCTCAGATCTATACTTTTGAGAGCAGTTCTTTGTTAACCGCTCTTAGATCTATACTTCTGAGAGCGGTTCTTTGTTAACCGCTCTCAGAACTATACTTCTGAGAGTGGTTCTCTATTAACCGCTCTCTAAAGTCACACATTAGAGAGCAGTTAATAAAGAACTCTTGGAGAGCAGTTAATAAAGAATCGCTCTCTAATGTTATTAAAGTCATTTATAAATGAACACGCTCAACGCGTTTCTTCTTCATAGCTAACAAAGTTGGTCTCGTTCACTGTAAGTTTCTTCTCTGCTCTCTTATATTTTCTTCATCTTCTCTGTTAGTCTGCTCTCTTCATCTTTTCTTGCTAACAAATTGATTTTTTTTCATCTGGAAGTACCTTTTCATTCTGTGTTAGTTTGCTCTCTTCATCTTTTTTACGCTAACAAATTAGTTTTTTTCACATTTGTATGTATTTCTTTATTCTCTCTTTCTTTCTTTTTCTCTCTATTAATGTTAAAAATTATCCTATTAATTTGTTCTCTTTTTTCTCTGCTTACTTGTGTTTCGTTCATGCAGATGTGGACTGCTTGGTTAACACCAAATATATAAACTCAAGATTCAATTTTGATTTGTGATAAAAATGATGAAAACTCACAAAGAAATTAATTCCAAATTTTGATTTAAATGTAATAATAAATTTTTATTTTGCAATAGAAAACTCATAAAGAAATCAATTTCAAATTTCGCGGTTTAAATTTATACTTTGGAGAGCGGTTCCACACAAAACCGCTCTCTAATGTTACACCTATACTTTGGAGAGCGGTTCCGCCTAGTACCGCTATCTAATCTTAACATCTGATAGCAGTTCTTTAACTGCTTTCTTAAATATAATACATCAGATAGTGCAAGATTTTAGAGCAGTTCTAAACGCTCTCTAATTTAAAATGGAACCGCTCTTAGATCTCCATTTTGGCTTAGTGAAGGATAGGCAAAACAAAGCTTAATTAATTAAGTGAAATAATAAGCATATGGCAAACGAATTGGAATGTGTAAGATTATTACATTTACTGGGATTACAGTTTGTCCATGGTGCAAAGCATCCCCAATGAATAGACACACATAATATCCACAGTCATCATTATTTGTTTACTTGGGATATTGTGTGGAAGATAAAAATAAAATAAAACAGCATTAACTAAGAATGCTATATAGTGCAATTACACTTTAGGTGAAAATTACAAACATGAGATATGATATAGTCTTACCTGTACAGTGACCCATTTTGTTTGACTCATCTTTCTACTAGAGGGTTGCACTCCTCTCTCTGCTCGATACGTGACAAGAGCACTAAGAGTCGTGAACCAAAGAAATTAGATACATTTGAACCACTTAACATTAATCATAGTTGGTTGACATAAATGAATGCTTACTTATTAAATAGGTTCTGCATGTGTGTTCTCATCTTCAGCTGCTTGCGTAGAGGGTCCATATAATAGATAGTCTTATCAGCAGTATTGATGGCAACCAAGACCCAATGTTGCCTACCACAAGTATAAATATCGTTTTAAGATTACTAAGTTTAAAAGTTATATGCTAAATTATAAAATATAAAGCAGAGTCTCAATGAGATTGACTTACCCAACATTATAAGGTGCAAAAATCAAGTGATCTTCACCCATATGATGCTTCAACATTTCAGCTATATGTTGATGTGGGTTCGGATTGAGCACTTCGTCATTTTATACGGAGATATAAATGAGAATCTATTTGCCATTGTCCCATGCAAATAAGCTTCACACAAATATCTTGTTTTGCAAAAGTAGAATTGAATATTATTAAATAAAGGTTATAAAAGTTATAAATTGATTATGAATTATATAATTTGAAAATACAAGTACCGTATGTAAAGGTTAATGCTAGAGGCACTCAACTAATGTCGATGTATGACCTCTATGATGTTTTCCTTCCCCACAATGTCACAAAAATCTTTACCCCAGTGCTCACTTGTCAGTTGAAATGTAGCTGTATCAATGGGTTGATCACTTCTCACAAACAGCTTCATCATATCCAAGCATGCAGCACCTTGGGCTTCTGCCAACTTCAGAATCTTTGATGAGGGGGAACCAGTGCTACCTTTATTGGATGGGCCAGCAATGGACTCTTTTGAGTACCCTGTCTCTTTCCCTAAACCTTTACCTGATGAAGGGTAACCTGAAAAGAACAAACCTTGTAATTGTAACATCTAGCAACAATAACTATAAAGAAACACGTTTAGATACCTTGGGTCTTAAAGTGATTAGGGACAATGGCCAAGTAACATAAGTACCAATGGCATCTCTCAGGGAATACAGGTTTGCTTGTTCATTTGAGACAGGTAGTACAGAGTCCTCCTCATGTCGTTGCACAACTTCTACAGAAACCTTACCATGCTTTGTGGAAGAGCCATATTATCTAAGGAGTCCCTAGCCTTGCAACAAGGCGAAAAGGTTTGTTCAAGTATAGCATACAGTCATGATCACCCTACATTTTGATCGTTCGTTATATTACGCAAAAACTCAATCAAAGGCATTAAACATTAAAAGGTAAATGATTATTTACAGTAGTTTAAATACCTCTGGAATCTCAA